CAAAGAGATCTACAACTTTTGTTTAAAATATTTTTCAAAATTTTTAATATTTGTGTCTAAAAATTACATATAATTGGTTGACATTGTTTTTTTAATAACTTTTTAATAAACAACGAGCGCCGGCTAAATCCTTCTGAGGGTTACTCAGGAGGGTGACCTCTATAATATATGTCAAGCCCAAGGTTATTGGAGGTGGGTGTGTTAATCTAAATAATTACCTATTGTTATTTATTACTGGCAACCTCTCTAGGTTGCCAGTAATAAATAACAAAAACAGGATTTAGTCGACCTTAGGGTTCAGGTCCTTTTCAAGCAAATCTAAAAAAAACCATCCGATAATCGGAATTAATACAATAGTAAAAAATGTAAAAGAAACGAGATTGAAGTAAATAAATAAAATAAAAGATAAAAGATATGGTTTGTCAAAGCGGATAAGAAAATGTAAAAGCCAGTGTAGGAAAATTGATAACCGACACAACTGGCAATTTTAATTAGAGAAATTTTATTGCGAAAAAATATCACCTTAGCCAGGGCTTGAACCTGGACTTCCCTACACTCTAGGCAGGCGTCTCACCAATGAGGCAATAGTCTTGTTATAAAAGATCGAATATAAATCAAAGACCGATCACTTACCTTAATAAATACACGATTAATAAATCAATCGATGAATAAAGGCGCTTGTGTCATAATATTTTATTTAAATCTTGTGAAGTTTATATATATTATGTACACACGTATATCAAATTTATTTTTAATTTTAATGTGAAGTAATAATAAATAGGTATTCATGTGTATAAAAGAACAGAACGAAAATAGCCTAAGGGCTCTGATATTTTAATGTGTAAAAGTAGAACTGCAAATAGTTACGTACCTACATTTCACCTAATTTCGTTCACCTAATAAGAAGATGCGCTATTAAATCTTGATTGTTTTTATTCTCATATTTTATCCCTGTCAATTTTAATCTTTCATCGCTTATCTATACATACTTCTTTGTTGCTTGATTTTATATTGGATGAAGAAATAAAATAACGCCAGATTTTTTCCGTAGATTATTTGACGATTAATCAGCTACGCGTATATTACAAAAATTTAGTATAAAATATTGTTGAAATAATGTATTCTACTTAATCAACATTTATATATATTGACAAAATACAACAATACTTGATTTGAACTGCCACTTCGGCAGAAAAATTGCTAATTCGAGATATTCGCATACGCTTCCCGCATATCCGATCTCGCGCGGACTGGAAAGCATGGACGAAGTGAAGCTCGCCGAAACACGTACGGCAATTACAGTGGCCATCCCGGAAAATAGAGGGTCTCTATCCCACGATTGTTATCTACACGTGTTGTTTATTGATTGTCTCGTTGTCTCGAGGCAACCGGCAACGTACGTCGTAGGACCAAAAGCACGGCTGGCGGTAATTGCCACCGAGCGAAGAGGCGTAACAGAATGTACGTTGCGCGCGTGTTTTCGAAGAATTAAATTTCAGAAGGGATTAAATTTAAATGTATAGAGAATGGGGCAGAGTAAAAGGATTTCCGTCGTAAATATCGCGAATCCGGAATAGCTCGTATTTGTGCGCACGTATCAAGTTTTCCCGCGAATTATCAACGGGTATTAATGTGTTATTAACAGGGTGTCTATTGCCAAGAGAAACTCTGAAAAACTTGGAATTCTGAGGGAATTATCTGTCGAAATTATCTCTTCATTTTGTATAGCCGATCGTCCAAGTAACAAAGTGGTAGGAAACCTATGGACGTGTTCGGGATGACTAGTGCTCGAAGTGCATTATTTTATCGGCGTTCTATAAATATAAAAAAAGATTTTTGTTATAACAAAACATATATTCCAAATTTATTTTAAATTTGCATCGAAACACATTTTCATTTTGCCTGAAAATTTCAATGAAAATACTTGGCAAACCGGGTGAAATTGTTAGAGAATTTTTTTTTAGAAACGAGTGGACACCCTGATTAAATATAATCTCGTAGCAGTGTATGCGAATACTACAAAGAGTCTATCTAGAACTAAATCTTCTATTGTTATATATGTATACAATCTATGAGAGCATCTTTTGTATATTGTTTGCGTTGCTTTGAATTCTTCAATTACTAAATCTTTATGATTGGGACAGTCTAGTACCTTTCATTATTAAAATTATTCCGTTATTCATTCCCGAAGCTATTACACACTTTACAGCAAATTATATCGTACTTGATTCGTCAAGCTAGCTTAGAAAAATAATATGAAGTTTCTAAGACTGAGAAAAAAGAAGGACATCTCGCGCGCCCGCATTCTCGATCTGTTATTCGTCATATTTTCTAAAGCACCGACAGAGTTTCCATTAGCTTATCGAGTTAAACTTCTGATAAAAAGCATGAGTTACGGGGATCTTCTTGTATAGCCGATGAAATTCCGGAGGAAGGTTCGAACCGATCTCGACGGGAGTTCCACATCCAATTTTCCTTGCATGATCCCGCGATGAACGGCGCGTATCGGGAGACTTCCGCCAGTATGGAGAGACTTCTCCTCTCCCCATACGAATCGACGAATGCAAGCATTGCTGCGAATTCCTTAGAGAAATCTTCGCGGCGTTACATCATCCGGCGTGCTGGCAACAAATTTGTTTCGCATTGTGCCACCTACCGCGCGAGAAATGCCCGAGATACATTCGTGTCCCTGCGCGTGCTTGCCGAGGGAAGAATGGGATATACAGCCGAAGAGAATGACTACCAAGTAGTTCGACAGATTCTTACGGTTTCCTCGCTCAAGAATTTCCACCGGCGGCAACAGAACGCACACGGACGCGCAGTCCCGTGGTTACGCTTCCTAATCGTAGCATGTGGAAAGTAGAAGCAAAAAATGAGCTGAATTAAAATTGTCCCGTTGCCCCTCTCTCCGTCTCGTTTCCCGCCCGGCGAATGATAACAACGCAACGAAAAAAAAAAAGATATTCGTTTGTGCATACCGACACCAGTTCCATCGCAGACGATAAAAATATACGACTCAGTCATTCTCCGGCCTTTGTAGACAGCTGCTTCTTCCTCTTAAATTAGGCTTGAGCCTGTTTTTTCCGATTAATTCGTCTCCTGTGATCCGGATGTCCAGCTGTCCATCCATCTCTTTGGGGGTCTTCCTGGGGGTCTTCTGGATGTTGGTTTCCCATCTCTTGCTGTTCTTGCTATTCTCTCTTCCGCCATTCTGGATACGTGACCGTTCCATTCACGTCTTCTCTGTCTTGCCCATCTGACGATGTCTGTAACATCGCTGGTTTCCCTGATCATCACATTGGGTACTCGGTCTCCGAGTGTCTTTCCCAGGATTGCAGACAGCGTACATATTTTATCTTTGCGCCTATTAATTTTATGATCATGACTCAACTCCTTTGGATTTTTATCGTTTAACTGAAACATCGTACTGTATATCTTTTTATTTTATTTTATTAAACACGTGCCAGTTAAGGTCGACTAAACTTATTCATTGTTATTTATTACTGGTAACCGCAACCTAAAGCGGTTACCATATACGAGCGACTGTTCGTATTTTTAAACAAGAAATCCATCTGCTATCATACGTCGCGTAATTATAAATCAGTTTGGCGCACGTCGGAGCAGTCGTTCCCTTATCCGCGTCCCCCTTCTTCCATCGGTCAAGCAGAATTGGCAGCCGCCGATGTTCTTCGGGGTGAGTCATCGGCGCATTTCGCGCGTTAATCGCCATTCCGTCGTCTATGCTCGATACCATATCCTCGCGACGACGCGCCGTGGAAGCGATGCCTTAGTCGGGCACCTATGCACACGCGGGCGCGCGAGAGAGCGCGAGCTACCTGACTACGTGTACGCCGTTAACGGGCTGCCATTTTCGATAAGAGGCGTTGCAAGGACGACACTGATCGCGCGCGACGTGTAGGCAAGCTGCTCGTAAAGTGTTTAGTTGAGGGCAGGTGGGGAGTGAGGGCTCGCCGGAATGGGGTGGATGAGTTAAACTACACGAGGTCTGACGGTAATAATTGAGTGCCGCTCTGTCTAGTTAGCACCTTGTACCGTCGGCTGACTCTCGTCACTTTATCGACTAAACGACAGCGATGCGTGACAAATCCATCTTGTCTTAACCGCCGACGCCGAGTCGATTATCGACGGGATCTCAAAACGGCGCAGTCGACGCGAGATTAATACGTCGCGTGCGGAAACGGCGGTACCTCTGCGCCACCGTCGAAAGACAGTTTTGTTGATTAAGGGGATATTAAATGTACGGGGAAGAGAAAAGGAAGAGCACCGGTTTCAATTTTTAAAATATCATAATTCGTAACAAAGAAATTTCTACCATTCTATGTAAACGACAAATAATAAGAACGTCTCGTACGATCGAGCCGGTTCTTGGTATCTAACAATTGTTTTGCGCGTACACATTTTTAATGTAATTCATATATTTCTTACGACGACAGTTTCGAAATAGCGCTAGCCGCGTCAACATTTAATTTGAACTGCAGGAAAGTGATTATAGACTCGCAGGAAGCGTTTGTAAAGTTAAACAAATTGGCGACGCATCGAGAGTCGGACGGGACTCTCGAGTATAAAATGTACAGATGAAACTGCGACAATGAAATTCTGAACCGGACGTCTGACTCGGAGTGGCTTAATCTCCCCTTGAACTTCGCGCGACTCTCGCCGAAGTTGCATGTCGAATGTCTGAGTAATAAAGGCACGCAAGTTCGATCGTTAACACGATCTAAAATTCCACTGGAGGGAGTTGCCAAAGTTGGTGAATTTACAACGTTTCTATGGAAAGTAGCCAATGTAAAAGATATTTGCGGGACTCTCCCCTTCGCGACTACTCGCCGCCTCTCCGGCCGATATCTCCCGGACTACCCTCGTCACATTCTTTTCCCATAAAAGCGTTAGGAGCGTCTCTCGCCGGATTCGACGCGAATTTCAGCGTCACTGCGCGCCCGAGCGAGCTTGCTAATTACCGTCGGTATAACAACGCTTCGCCCGCCCCGATAAAAAGTAATGATTCATTTCGTGCAACGCTCGTCGGTTTATCTGTTTCTGGCGTTGGCGGAGGAATCGTTCTTGCAACTAAACAGCAGCAGCGCGCCGTGCGGCAAGGAAGATTTACGTGACGCGGTGCCGGGAGAGAGAAGATATCAGACACAGGGAGGGAAGTGTCTGGCTCGTTTCTCCGTACACTTTTTCGGTATCCCTTACCTCCCTCTTTCTTCTCTCTCTCCCCCCCCCCTCCCCTCTCCCTGCTCCTCTCTTCCTCCTCACGCTCTCCTTCCGCTGCCTGACCGGCTCGCGAGAGATGGCGAACGCGGGCATCGGGATCCTGCAGACGAGTTAACGCCGCCGGAGAACGCAAGAAAAGCCGGCGAACGAATGGTAGTCGGCCAAGATCCGCCGAGTTCGGCTCTCGAGTGAATAATTAAATTACGCGAGCGAGAGATCGCGCGACTGCCTGCAGTAAGAGGGGGCGGCCCCGGGGCGGCTCGAGGCCAGGTGGCGAGAAGGGCGAGGGAGCAGGCTCAAAGTTGAAATTTCACGCGCCATTGTTCGATCCCGCCGAAGGAATAGGAGTTAGAAGCATTTAGGGAGCGGCAAGCAGGCACGGGGCTGTGAATTACGGTCGAAGATACGGCGAGACGTGGCGTAGAGGCGAAGGGATGCCGTGGATCGGCGGCGGCGGCGGCGGAGAACGATAGAAGAGGGAGGGCGGTCGGGGCTGAGACTTTAATTCCAGGCTACATCCACGGGGTAACGGAGCCACGCTTCTTCGGCCTAAACGACTTCGATTTCGACTCTCGCGCGGCGAAACGAGATTAATCGCGTCCCTTTTGTTCCTCACACAGTCGCGCCGATCGATTCGACGCACCGCACGATCCTGAACCGCGACAGCTTCTCCATTTCGCCGGAATCGCGCGAGCAACGTTTAGCAATTAATTTCCCGTGATTTCATCTGCCTCTTAATTGCGCGCCTCTCGCGACGTTCGTCTATCTCTGATACCCCCAGCAGCACTTCTCGTTAGGTTGATTCGCGGCGGCGCCGCCGCCGATACGCATGGGCTCGAGCCGCGTGGACTCGACTACCCTTTTGGCAATGCAAATGCAATCCGCCGTACGGTGGTGCGTACGCGACGAAGAAACGTCCGAGGTGAAAGACTGCGCGGAGCGGTCGGTGGCGCTGCGAGGGAGCAAAGAGTGGACGGAATGGAAAGGAGAAAGAAGAAGGAGAAGAAGGAGGAGGAGGGGGAAGAAGAGGGACCCGCATTCTCGGAGATTATCGTGCTCGCCATCAGCGTATCACGGCGTCAGAGGACAAGATTTATATGTAGAGTTTATTGTCGCTGAGTCCGCCCTACTGCGTTTTATGGATGTTTTTCGAAGGAGCGCTGCCGCCCGCGTGATCTATCGCGGCACCCTCGCTCTTCCACCCTCTCCTTCTCGCTCTGTCACCGAGCTCTTCGCTCTCTTTCTCTCTCTCTCTCTCTCTCTCT